CCTGCTCAGGTGGCTGAACAGTATAGTAGAATCCTTTTGTGATCGTTGGACAGCAGCTTCAAGTTATCCTCTGCGCTGGGAATGCCAGCTTCCCATTTTAAAATCTTGCTTTAGAGTAAGGTATCAAGGTTGGGAGATGTTGTATACGAAAAGGTCACTCTCGGAAACGGACTGCTGTAATCTGAACAATGTCTAACTGGGTGAGTACATTAAGGTTTCGCAAGGAGAAGGATGAACCAATAAGGAAGTAGAGAATTAGACGCTTTGTGTGTGTGTGTCTGGATTGTGTGCACGTGTCTGTCTAGACTAGCCGTCCAGACAGCTGACAGAATACACAACATCATCTCTCCGCTTAATCGTATGAGGCGTCAAAACCATATCGATACGGTCGTCTTTGTTCTCGGCTCGTCCTGCGGAGCTGCGTGCTTTGCGTGGCCTCGTCAGTGAAGTTTGGTGGTATTTGCCCCGTTCGTCTGATACTTGTGAATAATCTGCGGGCGTTGACTGTGCGGCCATCCTCCAGCCGGTAAGTGCCTGGCCCACATGCATGCATTATTCTTATCGGATCTGAAAACGTGGATTGTCCTTTTGATGCAGCGTTTACCTTCACGCGCACGAATGTTCCGGGCTGGAGCGGAGTAGTATGCTTCTGGTAAGTGGTCTGATATCGATGGCAACGATCTAACTCGTCGGGATTATTGATTGCAGGGATAGAAAGTGCGGCATTCAACTTTGTCCGAAGGACACGCCCAAGCATGCGTTCAGCTGGCGTTTTGTCTGTAGCTCGGTGATGTGCGGTTCGGTAAGAAAATAGTGCTTGTAGAACTGCATCCTCCCAACCTATACCAGATAAGCGAATAGCTTGGATACTCTCTTTCAAGGATCAATTGAACCCATGCCGTTTGCCGCTGGATTGTACGGCGTTGTACGTGAGTGCCGGATAGCGTGAAGTTGAAGGAACGAATGAAATTCGTGGCTTGTAAACTGCGGCCCGTTGTCCGTCACTATCTCCTCTGGTAATCCGAAGCGGGAAAACATATATTTCAGCCATCGAATAATGCTGGCAGTAGTCACCTCTCCACACAAATGGACTTCCTGCCACTTACTGTAAAAGCAGGTCACCACCAAACAATTACTTTGATGCTGAGGCGCTAAGCTAAATGGACCAATGATGTCAATAGCTATCTTGGCCCACGGTCGCATAGGATAGTCAATGGGTTGTATAGGGGATGAAACCGGCCTTGAACTCTTGTCTGCCCTTTGACATGAAGAGCAGTCATGAACAAGTTTTGCTATTTCGTGTGACATTTTGGGCCAGCAGAAACATGCGTCAAGCTTACGCTTCGTACGAACGATACCAGGGTGGCTTTCGTGAGCACATAGCATGATCTTTTGTATCAAGCTGCGAGGAGCCACAAATTTCTCGCCACGCATTAAGCATCCATCGATAAATGAAAGTTCATGAAGCAACGCGTAGTACGGACGAAACTCGCCTGTGATCTTGTTATTTTGTGGCCAACCATTTAGCAGAAACCCCTGAATGCAGCAGAGTGTCTCATCTTCCTGAGTCGCCTTCTGGAGTTCTTCCCTAGTCAGGGCTGAGATTGGTTCATTACTCAGCGAAGACACCAGTAATCTCTCATTATCATCCTCATTATTTTCAGTTTCGTTGAGGGGTAGTCGAGAGAGCCCATCCGCTACCTGGTTTTCGCGTCCGGGACGGAATTTAATTTGAAAATCGTACGTTAACAATCGTGCATACCAGCGATGTATCCGAAGTGGCCTGATGCCATTTGTTCCTCGAGTAAGTAAACTAGTTAGCGCTGCGTGGTCTGTACGAAGAGTGAAGGGTCTTCCGAACAAGAACAGATTCCACTTCTCACAGGCCCAAACACAGGCAAGGGCTTCTTTTTCCCCGGCAGAGTAAGGAAGCTCCGCCGCCGACAATTTTCTGGACGCGTATGCAATAACTCTTTCATGGCCATTTTGAATTTGAGATAGTATAGCACCCAACCCAATGTTTGATGCATCAGTAGAGACAATCGTTGGGCACGTCTCGTCGAAAATCGCCATAATTGGTGTGGAAGCAATGCGGCGTTTTATCTCATCAAATGCCTTTTGTTGGGGTGGACCCCAAACAAATACACTTTTCTCCTTTGTCAGTTCACGCAGTGGCTCAGCAATATTCGTGAAATCCTGCAGATAACGTAGGTTGTAAGAACACATACCTAGAAAATGCTTTGTTTCAGTGGAGTTCTGTGGGCAAGGAGCCTCGGTGATGGCACGCGCGTTGTCAAAACTCGGCTTCATACCGTCATTTGTTATAATGTGGCCCAGGAACTCGATCTCACTAGCATTAAATTTGCACTTCTCGAGGTTTAATCTGAGGTTAAGATCGTGTAGTCGACGTAACACAGCGTGCAGTCGTGAATCATGTTCTTCTGGAGTCCTACCGAATACACAGATGTCGTCCATGTATACTATTTGACCAGGTAAATTGGCAAATGAGTGAACCATAAACTTTTTCCAAACTGCTGGAGCTGAACTCAAGCCCATTGGCAAGACTTTGTACTGAAAGAGTACGTCCATAGTGAGAAATGCGGTCAGCGGTCTTGACTCCTTAATTAGAGGTATGTGAAAGAAAGCCTTCCTAAGGTCCAATTTTGAAAAGTATCGGGCGCCAGCTAGTTTAACTATTAGTTCATCCGCGGTTGGAAGCACAAACTTTTCTACCACGATTTGCCGATTTAGGGCCTGCAGGTCATTGCATATTCTTACTGTACCGTCCTTCTTGAGGACTGTAACCAAAGGGTGGACCCATTCAGAACAGTTAATGGGTTCAATGAGATCATCTGCAATCATCTGCCGTAATGCTGACGAAACAGCCTCTCTTCTGGCCAAAGGAATTGGACGTGGATGAGCAATAGATACCGGTTTAGCATCCTGCTTCAGACATATGCGGTGAACGGAAGACGGAGCGCGCCCTATTGTTTGTTCAAATAATTTCGGGTACTGTATCTGTAGGTCTGATAGGTTAATTGCCATGATACGCATACGAGCTAGGGACGGCGTGACTCCCAGTGCAACCATAGCGTTGCGTCCGAGTAAGGGACGGTTCTTTCCGCGGGTAACATACACAGCAACTGATGATTTTACGGCCCCAAGTTGCAACACAATCACCACAAATCTTCGTATTTCTACCGGGGCCTTTGTATAACTGTCAAATCGATAGGCTGAAGGATGTATAGGCATGTCATGTAGGTGAATGTTATAAAAACTACTCGGTACTATAGTGATAGGAGAGGCTGAATCAAGTTCCATGTCAACATGTGTTATTCTATCGTGTGCAAAAACCGTAACAGTACGAATGTCAGGCATAGGTAGTTTAGGCTCTGGACAATTGGAACGATAGTTAGACACAGTACCTGTGTTATCAATGGAAAATACATTTTCAGACGACTGTAACTGTTGATTAGAAACGGAATCTGTAGGATTCAACTGAGAAATGCGTGCTGAACGACCACAACGAGCAAAATGTCCACGCTTACTGCACATTTTACAATCCATTTCTAAGGCAGGGCACTTGGTAACATTGGCTTTATGCTGTAGGCTGCCGCAGCGGAAGCATTTCTGTGGGGATTGGAATTCAGTTGGCGAGCGATGTATCTTGGCAACCTCCTGTATGTCTGCGTGGGTGGCGAAACATCGCAACTGTTCGGCCGTACATGTTTTGAGGCGAGCTAATTCCACAGCCTTATCCCAAGTCAATGTGGAAGCGTCTTCGGAAAGCAGGCATTCCCGAATTCGGTTGTTGGTGATACCACTAATCAACTGCTGCACTAGCATTACGCCCTCGATTCTATTTTTCGGTATGGTTGGATACTCGCAGGGTCGTATACCGCGAGTGAGGCGATCAACGAAACCGTCTAGAGTTTCCGATGGTTCCTGTGTAAGTCGGCCGAATTTGAGGCGAGCCATGAAGAGATTTGTACGCTGTCCCCATGACTTGTCCAGCACCTCTAGCGCTTTCGTTAAGGTATCTTGTGACTGCAGCTCCAAAGCATCAAATTGACGTTGTCCCTCATCACCGAGTAGGTGCCTGAGTAGCTTCAGTTTCTGGCTTTCAGTGTAGTTAGCAGCCGCAGGTAGTAGGTCCAGGTAGTTTGTAAACGATGTTTTCCACTGGGCCCATGCACTTTCGGTAGGACGTACGGTCGAATCAGACCAGTAAACTGTAGGAGGATGTAATTCCATGGCGTAGGTTCGGAAGGCGCGACGCCAGTGTTGTATACGAAAAGGTCACTCTCGGAAACGGACTGCTGTAATCTGAACAATGTCTAACTGGGTGAGTACATTAAGGTTTCGCAAGGAGAAGGATGAACCAATAAGGAAGTAGAGAATTAGACGCTTTGTGTGTGTGTGTGTGTCTGGATTGTGTGCACGTGTCTGTCTAGACTAGCCGTCCAGACAGCTGACAGAATACACAACAGGAGGAGCAACACCAAACCACCTTCAATTGTGCTAAAAGGGTTTGCGTCTATTGTGATTATTCATTGGACAGAGAAGTAGTAACCAAAATGAGTTCCATTTTAAATGGATGCGCTGCAGAGAAGTCGCAGAGTGGAGAGAATAAGTCGGAATCATGAGAACTCACTTTAGTTATTTAACAATAGAAGCGCATCAGTTGAGAGGTAAATGAGTTGGTTATTATTTAATAGGTAGATGAAGATAATTAGATAAATACAATACAGCTACTGTTCGCCTCAATTTGCGATAACTTACCGGGTAAACGGCACTCGTTTGGGAACAGCACCAGTTGTAGATTGTCTAGTTCACGGTGGTCCGCCACAACATATAATAATTCTGGATACTAAACATTGATTTATATGGTGCTTTAAATCATCATGATACCGTTTGTTCAAAATTGTTTCATCGAATTGCTCATTTTATATTGTTTTGCCCTAGAAACCATTGATTTCAATGTACTCTACCTTTGCCAGGGATTGGATTTGCCACCTTAGTGACAATTTTCCGCCTCAACTGCTACTACAACGTGATATTGGCGTGGGGTCTCTACTACCTCTTCTCTTCATTCACTGCCACACTTCCGTGGACTTTGTGCGGACAATGGTGGAACACTGAGAAATGCGACAGCTTTAATACAATTAATGGAACCAATGGCTCAGCTAAAGCTTACAACTCATCGGTTGTTATTGATTCTGCCGTCGAATTCTGGGAGTAAGCTCATAACTGGGTGTGAACCAGCTGCCACCTTTTCTGTGTTGCCCCGTTAATATGTCATGTAAATTCACTTCACTTGCGGAAAGTAGCTACACTGGCACTAGTAATGCATTACCCACCAAAAAGCTGTAAGATAATTCAAAACTAACTACCTGGAAGCAACATCTTGCTCATACAAGAGAAACTCAAGTTAGCCGCTGGTTTTGTTCGGTACTGTCGTTACTCAAACTTCGATCTTGGCTCCGAACCATGTGAAACAGTGCCTCACAGTTTTAAATTGTCGCCGATCTCCTTTGCCACTCATGTTGGCTCGTGCAACTTGCGTACACCTAGCAGACGGCGTACTAAATGTCTTTCTCATATGTCGACATCCCCGACGCTTCCATGCGACTTCCAACACCCATACAGACTCGCCGTTTTGGATGGAAGCTCCATCTAACAGCTGCTTACAGACAAATTACCCACTGTTTGATTGCATGGAACAATCGTGCAGAAGGGTTCACACCTAAAACTAAGAATTAGTTTTCCTTTTTGAAGGCACTAAATTGCCGCTGATCAGATCTATGGACACCATCTGATTTGATGACACGAGACTTTTGTATAAATGTTCAGTGAATAGTCAGTTATCGTACCATGACCAAAAGCTTATCCAAGTTCTTATAATCGGACATCTAGGTAATGCTATTTGTCCAATGTCTGTATTAGCAGACGTCCTCACAAAGTAAATATAATAGGTGAAGTTCTCCCAGGAGAAATGTCTTCACATAAAATCCACTGCTTGCGTATACCTGTGCGTTACTCGTTATCAGATTCAATGGAACAATGAAACAATGGAACAAGGGTTAATTACGGGTAAAAAAAAGCATTGCTTAACAAGCCCCGTGGGATGGAAATTATTGCGAAAATCAATTGCATGATAAAGTGAAAAGCGTTTTGGTTGGCTCACCATAAACTTATGTGGAATAGCGGAGATGTTCGCGTATTAAACGTATAAATCCATCAATCCATTGGTTAGGCGTTTGGCAAGACACAGTTTGATTGCGTTTCGTAACCCGTGGCTAACAAATCATAAAATGAAATGTAAGTGAGACAATGCATCGTCAACACGTTTTTTTAAATATCGCCGAAGTGGGAGCAGAGACAACCTAATTAGGGAGGGTGTTCCAAGGCTGACATACGCGAAGGGAAAAGAAATTTCTACGGTATTCAAACCGGCTACACTGAATTATCATTTTCAGAGGGGAACCTCCTAGGTTAGTGCTGTGGTTCAATTCCAACAGCGGACGGCAGATGTGATTTGGATCCCACAAAATTTGGTAAACCATTATGAGATCCCCCTGCAAAAGCCGATATCGACCGCTGTAAATTCTTAGAGATTTCAGTCCAAGCAGTTAGAGTAGATAGTAGATGCCCCTGAGGTTCTTGGTTGCCCTGCGTTGAGGAGTCTCGAGAGCAACAAGAACCTGTTTCTGCTACGACTGCCACGCCTGAATAGCATATTCCAAGTGAGGTCGCACGTAGGCGTTAAGCATTTGGGGAACGCTTGAGGGTTCAAACAGACCGAAGGCTCTGCGGAGAAAGCCGAAGTGTTGATTGCCAGTTCTCGTAGCCTTCTCTGCGTGTTTTGAACACCCGAACTCTTCCTGTACCAGTACACCCAGGTCGCGCTCCTGAGAGACCTTCTCCAAGGTGTGTTCTCCGAGCTTGTAAGCGGTCACTGGCTGGTAACGCAGATGTATCACTTTGCACTTAGCTATGTTCAATTAAAGCTTGTTCCTCTTTGACTATACGTAAATGCAATCTAGATCATGTTGGGGCAGATCCTGATCTGGCTTGTTACTAAGCGCCCGCCATATCTTGACTTCATGGGCGAAAAGCAGGAAATTTGAGGAGATAACTGATGCCAGGTCGTTGATAAACACCAGGAATAAGCGCGGTCCCGGCCCTTAGCATTGTGGGAGACCAAAATCCACCTCAGTTGGGTTGGAGAGTGAGCCCTTAACACGCACTTGAGGCTGCCATTGGTGAAGGAAGCTTCCATACCAACAAAGTACAGGATCTCCGATTCCATAAATCTGAAGCCGTTGAAGTATGATGTGGTGATCAAGACGGTCGAAAGCTTTGGGTTGATGATGCCACACTTCGACAAAGTGGGGATTTGTTGTTCATCAAAGCATCTTTGTAAGAACTGTGACAGTGGTTCAGCTAGCTTGTTAGCCACAGCCTTCAGTGCCTTCGGGCGGATGTTGTCTGCTCCCGGCGAACTATGCTCACACAGTGAGAGTAACTTCTTTAACGCAATTGATGGGTTGAGAATTACATCAGTATAAAATGGTGTTGGTAATGTGCATGACGTTATGGGACAATTAGAGGTTTCGAGTTCGAAAATTGGGGCGTATTGTGGCCGCAGGGCATTAGCTGCTTCTTCGGCACTTTGTACTCTACCACCAGTCGTGAAAAGTGGAGGGATTCCAACCTTCAGTTTACGACGCTTATTGACATGCCTATATAGTAGTTAGTTTTTTGCCATGCATTTTCTGGCTTGGCACTTTTGATAAGTTACTTTGTCCTCACGGACAAGTGCAGTGCAATGGTTGGGATGGGTAAGGAAATGGCCCCAAGTCTCTGAGTCGGGTTAATGTTGTAAGCACGCTATGTTGCATCCCTTAACGCCAGGCATTTTCGAGTTCTGCTCCTTAGAATTGAAGGCATTTTCGCGGGACGACGGGGTTTGGTCTCTGATGCTCTGTTGACGATGTCGCTGAATTTATTAACAAACTCTGCCCAAACGTTGTCAAGGGGACTTTTGTCTGAGAATTCCCAAGCAGCTGCGTCAGCGAGTTTTTTTAATTCGTGGTAGCGTGTGATTACATGAGTTGGTTCTGAGTGATCAGATGGATACTCTGCATAACACACATAGTTAAACATTATTACTACATGGTAACTGAGACCTAATGGACTCTCCATCAATAACGTGGCAACCGTGAGCTCTTCATTCGTGAGCACAAGGTCTAGTATGGACGGTTTGTTTGCTGTCCTGAATGTAGTGGGCGTGGTTACATGATTGCACAAGGGAATATTCGCGACCAGTTCATGCAAGTCTGCTTTGGACTGCTCACTGTGTGGTGCCAAAACCACCAGATTGTGTAAATCGAAGTCCCCGGAGATGAGAATGTGGCTGTACTTATTGCGTGATACTCTGTATAGGCCACGGATCAAGCGGGAATGCGATTCCGGAGGGGACCTTGGAGGACGGTAAACGATAGCTACGGGACATACGTCGTTTTGTGATAGTCAGAGACGGCACCAGAGTGAGTCGGTAATGTGTGTTTCCAGATCAGCAACTATTGTACCTTGTAGATCTCTGCGTTAGTAGAGTGGGACCCCACCTCCACTGCTGGGGCGGTCGTTCCGGATGAGTGACATTCCGGCTATCTCAACCTCAGCATCAGCCACCTCTAGGCTAGACCATAGATTTGGCTGCCTGCAGACTGGATGTGAGGATTTTTACAAAGCGTCATGTAGACTCTCGCGATACAAAACTACCTGTAGGCAGTGATAATCAAGCTGGTGTTCATGGACAGCAGAATCATTCACATGCTACGTAATTATGACGCACAGTTCCATTGTGTCCGCATTAACTGCATAGTTTTCTTTTGCATCTTATGTCGTCCGCATGGTCATCTTGATGCTTAAGAATCGTTCGTCTGCTTTACAGTTAGAACTATACCTGCATTGCCTACGTCCACGCTCAAATGTCTTTAGAAAAATGTAGGCTCAAGTCACTAGGTGATGAGAAAGCTACAAATGGAATTCACACCGCACGTGCAGTTGTTACCAAACACGGATTGTATTCACAAGATTTGACAAATCACTCAAACAACCATCAGGATCCGGCCCCTTATCAATCAACGCACATCCACCTCATTCGTATGCATATTATCAAGGGCTTCTGACATTTAGCAAGCCTTCCTCTATTTACACCAATACTCAAGGCCTCCTTAGTAAACCTTTTTATTTGCGGTTCCTTCAATGAGCCAAGTCCCATTGCCTCATCGCTACGGCACATGCATGGCTGTCTGCACTAGCGAATGCATGCGACTGATCCGAATCGACGTGCTTGACTTTCTGTGGGCTTTGTTGCACATCATATCTAACAACTCTACAAGGTGCCGGATTATTCTTCCTGATTCAATGTCTGTTTCATGTCGTCGTTTCTGACCAATTTTGTTTCTGAAACTCATTACTGCCGTAATCCAGTTACAAGTACTTTGTGGATCTTGTATACTCGTTCGGAAAAGCTTTCTGGATGCGCTCAAGTTAAGCAAAAATCGTTATTCCTGCATACCATATACCGCAGCTATTCCGCACTTCTTACTACCGTGCTTCTTGCCAACATTTATTTGGAATTGATCGATTCCCCAAAGCCAATGACCACTCCTTATGACATTGGCAACCAGTGCGCCGACGACCAGCGCAGGAACTGCACATCTTCCATTGAACCTTCTATTCACCGCTCATCTGACGGGTGCACGCAAACAACCACATTAACAAGGTCTGACGCATTAAGTCTACCGGCAGTCAGCCATCTCACCTAGTGTGCTTGTTTTGACCTGTTTGTGTGTCACCTGCACGCCTAGCGGATAAAGTTTCTCAAACCTGAGATCCATAACCTTAAATACCGCTGGGATAGACCTAGCTGGAAACGACAACAGTACAGTTAGCATTCCAAACATCGTACAGCACCGCACATGTGTTTCAGAGGATTGCGACAAAATCCGTAAATCAGGGTAACCTGTTCTACCTGCATTAGATCGTAGCATCCGCGATGTATAGGAAAAGTCGTCCAAGAATTGACGTAGCTAACTAAACTAGCTGACATATCTTGGTTGTGTCGAACAGGTTGTCATTCCAGTTGTCAACTGTTAATCTTTGCTCATGAAAAAGTGCGAGAAAATAACTGAAACAATCGTGCCTTTATTACCTACTATGATGTC